AAAGAAATTCAACAAAACAATCCGTCTGCTTAAATGTAGCGTCCACATTAACAACAGTGCAGATGCAGGCTGGGAAATGCCCCGAGAGGTCTTCATTGCTGCAGTACAAAGCTGCTTAGGGCTTTCAGAGCCGTAATGGCCAACAAGCAGCGAACGTAATTTATACACTGTATGTTTTCACAGGAATCAGAGAGGGGGGAGAGCAAAGAGAAGGTCGTCTGTGAACGAGGGGAGGTGTTATTTCTCCCTGCGTGTTCTCTCATTTGAAGTTGTGCAAGAGTTAGTCTTTTTTTCTCTCAGTACTGCCTTTTTCTGAACGTGCGTCTCTCTGTCGAGCAGCGAGGGATTTCTGTTGTGGGAACTGCTGCAGGAAGGAAAGTGCAGCTGGGAATTTCTGCCCGGCTAGATATCGCAGGCTACAGGTCTGTGGCGAAAAAAGGCACGAAAGAGAAAGATGGCAGAAGAGCAAAGCAGATGAAAGTTTTGAAGCAGGGATCAGATGAAAGCATGGAGGGGGGGGGGAGGAGATTTGTCGCGATGAAGGAGCAGTGAAAGTGGACGAGACTGGAAGATGACAAGGGGACGGGAATCTTGTTTCCACGCCTGCAAGTCACACACACTCTTACACCTTTGAATCTACACATGCCCACTCACAGTCCACCATCGGCTCAGCCTGACACACAAACACACACTTTGAATGAACACTGGACTTGGACCCGCACACACACACATTGCATCAGATACGCCAGCTGGACGTGGTTTCATTCAGTCTCCACCTCTTCCTGCTGCCAAGGGCTTCGGAGTGTGCGTTTAATACACCCTCATTGCACTCTTAATCTACTAACCTGCCATTGGATGTTTGTGTACACACCTGCACATACACACCCACAGAGGACTCACCCTCTCTTCTCTCACACACACTCTCAGAGCAGCAGGTCGCTGGAAACAGACGAACTGTCAGCTGCAAACGCACACTCAGTTGCTGCCAAGGGAGGAGGAGGGAGGAGGGAGGAGGGAGGAGGAGGAAAAGAAGAAGTGAAGCTGGAAGCAACAGACAGAAACACACAGAGAGAGTTGGACCAACCTCTGAGTGTTTCTCTCTCTGCCTGGCTGACTGTGTGGGAGATTACAAGTGATGCCTCGCACTCTGAGGAGCAACACATAATCAGGACTTTTCTTAGCTTCCTATATATTTGAAACTCTCTGCTTCAATGATGAGGAGGGACCGTCTCCTCTTAGCCGCGACCCTCACTGCCATCTTCTCCGCTGACCTTTACTTTGTCCTCCTGCCAAAGCTAAGGAGCGTGGGTCTGGGGTCCGGAGACTTTTGCCCATGCGGTCCGGACAACTTCACCCTTCCCAGGCACGGAGGTCTCGCCACCCCACAGCTCTCTAACTGGAGTCTGTATGGAACCACATCCGAAGCCGCTGATGATGGGGGGTCGAAACTGGAGAGGCTCTTCTCCCACCCTCTGTACAACATCGAGACCCCGGTGCTGGGCTCGGAGGAGAGGCTGCTGCAGGCGGAGCAGCTGATGGATTACTACAGGAGGAAGGTGGCACGCTGGGAAAGGTCAGTTTCTGTTGTCATTTTCTTGATTTTTAAAGGTCACCTATTGTGCAAAGTCCACTTCTTCATGTTTCTTCTTCATCAACATGTGTCCCCTCTTCTTCATGTCTCTTCTTCATCAACATGTGTCCCCTCTTCTTCATGTCTCTTCTACATCAACATGTGTCCCCTCTTCTTCATGTCTCTTCTACTCCTACATCAACATGTGTCCCCTCTTCTTCATGTCTCTTCTACATCAACATGTGTCCCCTCTTCTTCATGTCTCTTCTACATCAACATGTGTCCCCTCTTCTTCATGTCTCTTCTACATCAACATGTGTCCCCTCTTCTTCATGTCTCTTCTACATCAACATGTGTCCCCTCTTGGAAAGGATCTGATGAAAGAGCTGATCAGATTTTGGCCACTTTGTGATGTCATAACGATTTTTTGGCTTGTGTAACTATTAGCCAATCAGCAACCAAGGTAACCCCCCCCCCCCTTATCACCTGAATCTCCTCCGAGAGCACCATTGTGTTCTTTGTAACCAAATCTCTCTCAGAGGGGCTCCTTATTTTCATCTAAAGTAACAGACAGAGAATTAGCACTTTTGAAACAAGGCTGAAACAGAGGGGATTATGGGTAATGCTGCAATGATCTGTTTGGTGTCTCAGCCAATCAGAGACAGGTTTTGTATATATCTGAGAGCTATAATATATTGATGAAAAACAGTATAATAGGGGACCTTTAAAACCTATTTAGACATTGCTTATTGGTTCACAGTGCATGATGTGCAATGGCTGGCAATTATTGAAACACGGCATGTGTTACTCAACTGTATTGTGAAAGAGGAGTTCATTCAGGCTGACAGATATCACTCTGGGACGCGTTGGGGCTTGACTGTGGTGGAGGGGCCGGGTCACCGACATCTCGGCCAAACCCACTGCAGATATACGGAGTCATGGGAGGGCCATAACAAAGTATGAAAGAGTATGGGCAGATACATTTTGAAATATAAAGCCAAGTATAATAGTAAAGTAAACATGTTTTGGGAAGCATAAAGAGAAAAAACTAGGTCAACAAATATGTTAGAAAAAATGTAGATATAAATATAAATAAATAAAATAATAAATAAATATGGAAACATAAAAATAATACAATCATAACAGATCAAAGTGAACAAAAAGACAAATTATTACAATTAATAATGTAATAATAATAAAATACAATAATCTATTTATTGAAATGTTTGAGATATTCTTGAAATATATATTTATTTTTAATTGAACTTTTTTCATCGGATTATTTCTCCTTTTCTTCCCCCTGTTGCTTCTGCTTTTTATAAAAAGGTCCACGTTGTCAACCAACCAGCTCCACTCATTTAATTATCCCTCTTTAAATTGTCACATTTCTCTTCTTTTAAAGAAGTCTTATTTTTATTGGCATTCCTATGAGTCCACACAGACAGCCACACACACACATCCAGGCAAATAAACACACTTTTGCATTTGTTCGTGATAACAGCTGTGAACCCACAGATACACATCAGGATGTGTAGACAACTCTGTACGTCATAAAAGTCCAATGTCGAGTGGGCTGGTGGCAGAAAAACACTCACAAACATGTCATCCTGAAGGCTAGCGTCTGGCACGCTCTCTTTTAAGGTAAACAAGGATTTAAAAACGGCTAAATCCCGTCTTAATCTGTGGGAGCCTGAGCTGTCTTTGGCTTGTGAGGGCTGTCTGTCTACCAAGACACAGCGCACTCCCTCAGAGATACACAGAGTTTGGGCTCTCACGATGGAAAAAGAGAAGAAATATGAGCAAAGATCGTCTCTCTGCTGCTCCTTTTTACAAATGTGCACAAAACAACGCCAAAAGGCTTGTTTTAAGACTTGCGATATCTTGCAACAGCATCTCATCACTGCAACAAACACACCCAGGAGAGCTTTTCGATTGCTTAAATGAACTGTGAAAACCGCTTTTCATGGCACGCATAAGAGGAAACAAGCTGAAAATATGTTTTCTGCTAAACCTGTCTATGAGTGGCTGGCACATATGCAAAAACAAGTTACCCTTTATAACACTTTCCACTTACTCTTTAGTATCTTGTGAGTGACTTCACACTCTTTGCTCTAGTATCTCGGCACTTCATGTAGCGTGTGCTGAAGTTTGTTTTGGTTTGGAGATGACTGTCCCACTCAATGTGGTCAGCTCTGGCAAAGTGGTGCCGCTCTCCCCACAAACGTATTTGTTTTGGTTTTAGATTATTGTTGCTCAGGATTTAAGTATAGCAGAGAGAAGGGGAGGCTTTCAAAATGTTTACAGCGGCTGTTAAAAAAAATAGAGAGCTCATAAGACAACTAATAAAATGTGATATGTGAATGCAGAATATAGCTTTAGGGACAAATAAAAGTTAGAGTTCATAATAACTTCATTAAATATTCATTGCTGTGTTTTCATATTCTCTTTCATTTCACATTCTTGTAAGAGCTGCTGCTAAGAAAACCTGTTGGACGCACTTTGCCTTGGGTTTCTGGCACCCTTACCACTCAGGCTCTGGTCTTTCCAAATTGTTGTAAGAAGTGATTCCTAAGCACTGGGGTTACTTTTCAAAGCTTGGCAATGCAGTTCAAGCAAGAACCCTTTCTTAGTCAGCTGCCTCATTGTTGTTTATGTAAAACATGCCTTTCAAAACCCTCTGCAACAACAAAATACTGTAGATGAAAACACATTCCTCTAACTGATCTGTTAAAGGGACATTTCCCCCCAAAAATGCAAACTTACCCGTAGTGCTATTTGACAATCTATATTGTTTTGGTGTGAGTGTTGGAAATAAGAATGTCTGCCTTTTCTCCAACGTAATTTAAAGTGGACCTATCATGCTATTTTTAGGCAATAGCATAGGTCTCAGATATATAAAAAAAATATAAAAAACATGTCTATGAAGTGTTTTGCTCAAAATACCAAACAGATCACCCATTCTAGCCATGCCTCATATCCCTTTATTTCACTTCCTGTTTCAAAAGTGCTGATTTTGGGTATAAAGCTTTAAAAAAAAAAAAATTGATATCAAAATATTTTTATTTTTATTTTCTGATGCTGCGTGAGTTCCCCGACACACCGGGGACACATATTTATGTACGGTATAAAAAAGACATCAAAAAGTGCATTTTGCATGATAGGTCCCCTTTAAATACTTGGCACACAAAAAGTACAAAACATATTTAAAAGATAGATCGAGTAAATCTAGTTTTGAACAGTTTCACGCAAGACCTATTTTCTTGCTATTGCACCAAGAGTGGTTAGTGCCTACTTACTGGGTCTAGTTTGGATGAAGTAAAATAGTTCCCTCATCAAAATGCTAAACACAAGGTCTGTGAACTATCTTCCTTACTCTTTCAAAATATGTATTTGGCACGTTAAACACAACAAATCAAGTGCATGTAGTTCCATTATATTGACAACTCGTCTTTCTGTAAGAGCACTGCAACTCACACCCAGACAATCTAAAAAATATGAATAGCACTAATAATAATAATAATAATAATAATAATAATACATGACACTTATATAGCGCTTTTCTAAAATGAAAATATGGGGGGGCGGGGTGGTCAGAGTTTGAATGCAGTGTTGAACAGGTGGGTTTTGAGGGATTTTTTTGAATGCTTTACTAAGACATAAAACATGTATTTTTGATTTTAGGGTAAACTGCCCATTAAAGGCTGTAACATCACATGAATGAAAGTCCTACAGTTAACCTCCGCTCCTTCTCTTACTCCTCAGACATATGCATCTCTACAGCGAGGCAGCGGCTTTGTCAAACACCACAGTGACTGAACATGAAGTGACCTTTGACCCTGAAGCCAGCTGGCTGAAGTTCCACTCAGGAATAAACAGCTACGCTCTGTACTCCCGCAACGACCCCGCTATCCCCAAACTGCTCAAAGACATGCAGAAGATGTCGGTCATTAACGCAGGTGAGCGATGGATAGACGGATAAATTACTATAAAACATCTGTAAGTCTGGGGGAAATGAATGGTGATTGCTTCATGTTATCGGGAGCCACCATTAAGCTTTGGGCCATTAAGTAATATAGCACTTTTCTGACTTAGTGGATGCTAGATTAAAGAAGCTAATATTCTGGCTCTGTGTCAAATTCCATGCTGTGATAAACGATTGATGTTAAAGTGTAACTATTGTACTTCTCAATTACGAGCTGACGGACTTTGACTTCTTGCAGATTACACTCAAGATGAGAAGGCCCTAAAAGGAGCGTGTGATTGCACCCAAGGTATGTTTTTTTTTTTTAATCTTCTTTGTGTTCCATTTCTGAATAGCCTCTTTGTTTGTGTCTCTTTGTTTCTCTCTCTGTGCTTGGCGGCACCGTCAGACACACTGCGCTTTGTGATAGCAAGGATTCGTTTGGCATCGAAATCCAGATTTGTCTAGTCTGTGTAAGACACTTGCTCCGGGGCGAAAAAGCAGGCGTTCGGTTGTGTTCAAAGGCAGCGCTCTTAATTACAGCAAATGTTTGATGTCGGTGCGCTCAGAGGGAAGCCGATGTTTCCAGGCGTCAACCTACACACCAGCCGCCACCTACGCTTTCTTCTTCTACTGTACCTCTCAGCAGCAGACAAGCCAAAGCAGCAGATAGAATAATGGATGGTTAATGGATAAGGTTAATTTACAAATCCACTTTGAATAGATGTGAGCAAAAACACTGGCAGATATGGTGGATTGAGTGGTACTGCTGGCGAGAGCTGTTGGCTAAGTATAGGTGATAATTAAGGCTTTCGGATAACAGGTACAAATGGATGTGTAATGGCTGGGGGCTATTGGGCGTGGGCCTTGGATCAAAACGCAGACCACCTACAAATATCACTCAGAGAGACACATAACAACTAAGTAGAGATGTAGAAGGGCCATAAAGAGACACAGAATGAGTGAAAATAATTACAAAATGACCAAGAACACACAAAATGAGGCAGAAAAAGGCCAAAGAAGAACCGCAAAACCACCAGAAGAGACACAAAACAACAAAAATAGATGTTTTGCTTCTATGTAGGAGTGGGGGATATATCCATACTGCTATACTATACTTTTTATGTAGAAATGTAAAAATTCTGCTCTAGCTTTTTGATATAAAGACCTTAACATATTGTATTTATACAGTTTGCTGCTTTCTGCCATGTCTGTGTCTCGCCAACAGTGGAGCGGCTGACCACAGAAACATTGTTTACTGCCAAAAAGAAATTCAACAAAACAATCCGTCTGCTTAAATGTAGCGTGTGTGTGTGTGTGTGTGTGTGTGTGTGTGTGTGTGTGTGTGTGTGTGTGTGTGTGTGTGTGTGTGTGTGTGTGTGTGTGTGTGTGTGTGTGTGTGTGTGTGTGTGTGTGTGTGTGTGTGTGTGTGTGTGTGTGTGTGTGGTAGGTCTGGCCTACTGCTGTGACATAATATACAGCCATACATAGTGAGAGAGCATATGCTGTGTGACCAACCCCCAATTACTTTATCACAGGGAACTGGCAGATCTTGAAAGTGTTCCAGTTCAAAATGGCCTCTGGGGCATTCAGTTCAAAACCAAACACTGACTCTGATGCTCAGTGTTGTCAAGCTATCATTCAAGTTTCTACATAAAAGTCAATGTTGTCTCTCTTCCTGCCGCTCTACTGTAGTTGTGAAGCCCAGCGGACATCACCTGAAACTGGCTCTGAAGATGCAAAACTTTGGAAAAGCCATGTTCAAACCAATGAGGTGAGTCCCTGAGGCACTGCTCAACACACACATGTGCTCTAATGCATGCACACTTTCATTTTTTTTTAAAGCCATAAAAACACCAAATACAACAGAAACATAATAAAAGGTGGACAATTCAGTCAGAAAAGTTGTGATAAGCCAACATTTTAAACTTGAAACATCATGTTAATAATTAACCTTTGATAATATTGTGTAAATAAACCCAACGCCTATTAATTAATGTTCTCACTACCTCTCTTCCCCAATGCCCTACAAACAACTGAGTGTCGTTCATTTGCCAATAAAAACAAACCAAGGTTAAGATGATTGACTGATAACATCTTTTCTTTTTAATTTCTAGACATCGCATTTTTTAACATACACATTCTCTTGTCAAGTCGTGTTGATTTACGGGGGGATTAATCTTCTCCTACCTGTGTTAATTATACTAACTGACATCTTGCGTGTGTGTGTGTTGTCTTTGTGTTCTCTCTGTGTGTGTGTGTGTGTGTGTGTGTGTGTGTGTGTGTGTGTGTGTGTGTGTGTGTGTGTGTGTGTGTGTGTGTCTGTGAATGTATGTTTGTATGTGTGTCTGACCCTCCCCCTGCAGGTGACCTCTTCCCCCTGCATCAGACAGGTTCCTGCAGCGATGTATCCCTTCAGTCCGGACACCGTCTCCTGACTCCTCAACGCCACCGTCTTCATGCAGGTCACATGCTCCCACTCCTCAAGGTCAAACCTTAGAGAGACACAAAGGAAGGTCAGGACATATACAGGCGCCTCATGTCTATTAAAACAAGGTGTCTTTATTGATTTTTGCTAACTTAACTAATTGTTTTTCAAAGAGCGATCAGATGAAGCGAAGGTTTTACCGTGTGTTGGGAATGGTTTCCCAGCTGACCGGAGAGATGAGCTGGATGGAAAACCTCTCCTGCTGAGGGTTAATGTAACGATCATCTGCAGAGACACACGAGAAACAACGGGACAGTGTGTCAGGGTTAAAGTAAGACTACGAATCAGTGCTGATCAAATGTCACAATATCAGAGAACTACCAGCTCACTACACTGCGATTAACACGGTAGGTTGAAGTCTAAAAAGGGGTTGAAGTGCTTTACTAAAAAATAATCAACAGTTGAAAGTCAGCTAAATTGTAACCCTTGTAAATCAGAAACAGACATACTTAGCCAAAGAAAATAATTGATGGTTATAAATAAAAACATAAATAGTGCTTAAATGTATTAATAGAATCTAAACGGAAATAAATTAGTAGCTAAATGAAATTATGAACCAGAAGTGTGTGTGTGTGTGTGTGTGTGTCTGTACGTCTGTGTGTGTGTGTGTGTGTGTGTGTGTGTGTGTGTGTGTGTGTGTGTCAGGCAGCAGAGGGACGAGGAGACTCCTGAAGACTTCTTCTACTTTGTTGATCTCCAGAGACACAACGCAGAGATCGCTGCCTTTCACCTGGACAGGTGCGGTGACGTCACTCGTAACGCTCATTTATCACTTAATTGCTTTTCCTGTTTTACTACCATCTCTGTTACACTCTGTGTGTTTTAATTGGTCTCTCAGTTTATTTATGGGGTATTGACGCCTGGGGGGAATTTTAGAGATTGTGTTTCACATCTGTCATTTTATTGGCCCTGGCTCTGGCTCTGATGCCCGCTGAAGTGCAGCAAATGTTTTTGTTTGGGCCTTTTCATTTTAATGGCACGATACGTGACGCAAATTTAAAACCAAATAACAGATTGGAAACAAGCAAGTCAAAATGAGTTATTAATGGCTTCCAGCAATATAACATACCAAAGTTTAAAACTAGGATTACAGAGAAACACATTCATACATCAACATGTGAATTCATACTAGTAGCATTGCTCTAAGGATGGCAATGCCTAGTGACATATTTAATTAAGTATTGGATGGATTGCTATGACATTTGGCCATCATAAGGTCACTACTAAATGTCTTCAGTGGCCAAATAACTACTACGCTGATGACATTCACATCAACCCCAGCTATTCTTTGTGTTTAGTGCCAATTAGCCAGGGGCCCCAGGGATTTTGGGCCCCATGAAAATATATCACATTGGTTACTTAAACATTTCTTTCTTAATGCTCTAAAATTGTTTGGGCCCCAGTCAGTCACGGGCCCTTAGAATCGCCCTAACTTTTCACCCCCTTACGGCGCCCCTGCAATTAGCTAATGTCAGGGTGCTAATACACTCAACTATGATAGGGAACATGGTCACCATTGTACCTGCCATGAATACACATGATAGCATTGTCATCAATAGCATATTTAAGCAGGCTGACACTGTGTCTGTCTAGTGTCGGTACTGCTCACAGGGCTTTGAGATATATCTATAAGTATTTTTAGAGGAATGACATGAAAATGTGTAATCTTAAACAAGGTCTTCAACAAGTTATATCAAAAATAACATCTCCTTCTCCTTCCTTCCAAAGATTGCAAGACGTTTGCCCAACCCAGTGTTTCCAAACTAGCTGATCAGTTTAAACCACACGCAGTGGGCAAACTCCAGAAAACACACGCATCGTTTTGTAATTGCACATCAGCTGAGGGGAGGTGATTCACTCTGAACACAGTCATCTGAGCCAGACAGTATCATTAAGGAGCCACACACAAAGATAAGTCATCGCTTCAACCAAAAAAGACAGTAAACAAGAGGAGTGCCACGTCAACACTTTCATAATTACCTTGTATATCTGCTCTATTAGTCTTTAAATATTACATTTTAAGTCTGACATCAAACACTACAAATGTCTTTGCCCTTTCCTATTTTTAATCTATGGCGGTGTGTTTTCAAATCCGTGGCAGTGCGTTGTCTCTCTCTGTTGTGTCTGCGTTTGCTGCCAAACCTTTAAAATCATCGCCAGAAATCAGCAGTAGGGGAATGCTGAGGATCTGAGAAACATCCATTGAGCTACTCCCACTGATTGTTGTTTGATTACTGTTTGCGACACATGACTGAAATAGGGCCCTCGGGGGAGGTATAAGCTCTTGATAGTGTGTATGAACACAGCCAGCTAAATTATACAGCGTAGAGACTGTCAGTGGAGTTCATTCATTGATAAGAATCAGTCAAAATAAACTCCAGGCTGCTGTGAAACGAGGTGAGGAGATAGAGATAAGGATAGTATTCTCCTGACATGACTCACATGTATATTCAATCACTGTAAGCATGAACTGTAAACTTTTCCTCAACCAGGAAACCCCTTATTAAAGGTCCCCTACCAAAACAGATCATTGCAGCATCCCATAATCCCCTCTGTTTCAGCCCTGTTTCAAAAGTGCTGATTCTCTGTCTGTTACTTTAGATGAAAATAAGGAGCCACTCCCCACGCCCCTCTGAGAGATATTTGGTTAAAAAGAACACTATAGGCGCTTTCACACCAAGTACTTTTCCCAGGAATAGTTCCTATTGTTTGTAGTTCCCGGAACTATCTAGTAAATCGTGTTCACACTGGACTAAGTCCCTGAGGGAAGATTACGCAAATTAAGCTGGTGACGTCGCTTCTTCTTCTTCTGCTTTGGGTTTAGTGGCAGGCCGCAAACAACTTCACGGTGTATACTGCCACCCGAAGTCCCCGGCCGGAAGTCCCCGGAGTTGGGGACTGGCTTCAGTAGAAGCTGCTCTACTGAAGCCTTCCGAGTAAATCGCCAGAATGCCGACACCTCCTCATCTCCACCGCTCCCATGTTTTCTTTTGTGTTGCCATAAGTTATTCTCTCTCCGTTGGTGCGCCGGGCTAATGTTAATGCTAATAATGCTAATGTGAGCAAATACACACAAAAACTTCACAAAACTTTTCAGAGTTTTACGGGGCGTGGTTTGCAATTAACCCAGCCAATCAGAAATGGGAACCTTTTTCTCCCCAGGAAAGTACCACCTCTCTAGCAGGGACTGAAAAGGGGAGAAAAGGTTCCCGGAAAAAAATATATTTTTGGTTTGAACGCAAAATCACAGGAACTAGCGGAACTATTTCTGGGAAAAGTACGGGAAAAGTATTCCGGTGTGAAAGCGCCTAAAAATCGTTATGACATCATAAAGTGGGCAAAATCGAATCAGCTCATTTTCAGACAGGTTTTTGTATAAATGGATCAGGACAAAAAGAGAGAGAATCTTTTTTCCTGATCTTCTTTACACAGAGGGGACACATGTTGAAGTATACAATACATGGACAATTGGATTTTGCATAATAGGTGACCTTTAAGTAATTCTCATTCAATTATTTTTCAGGATCCTGGACTTCCGGAGGGTCCCGCCGGTGGCTGGCAGGCTGGTGAACGTCTCAGGAGAAGTTCTGCTAGTTACTCACAACGAAGACCTGCGAGCTGTGTTCTTCACTTCACCTGGTAAAGAACCAGCAGGTCTTTTTAAAAGGAATAGTTTGACATTTTGGGTAATACGCCAATTCATTTTTATTGCCAAGAATTAGATGAGAAGATTGATACCACTCTCATGTCTGTACACAAGTATGAAGCTAACAGGTCCAACCATAGCTTTCACTTAGCTTAGCATACAGACTGGAACAAGTTGTAGTCTTACAGGGCATTCAAAATCCAACTAACCATGATTTGAACAAACAATATATAATATGTTACTTAGTGAGCTTTAGAGGTGATTGTTGGCATTTTTAAACCTTAGACAGATTCACGCTAGCTGCTTTCTGTTGCTTCTTGTTTGAATTTAAGTCGCTAAGGCCGCTATACTGAAGGTCAGTCTCACTACTAACCTCTCTAATAATAATAGATCTCGAAAAACACATGTGAGACAATGCAAAAAGTTAGTCTTGATAAATATTTCGTGCCACTATCCTTTCACTTTAAATGTGTATGCCAAAACATTAAAAACGTAAAGTGTTTTTATTTCTGGCAAGGGTTAAACTTTATTAAGACCATCATGCTAAAATATGTGTTTTTCTTAGCAAAGCTTTTGTTTCTACAGTGTGTCCCTATATCTTTTTCCTTGCATCAAAAGAAACCTAAGGCTGTTTCTTTGTTCTGGTTTAATGTTCTTTAGTTAGAGGGAAAGCCAAGCAGATCAAACAGCATGTAATTGTAAGTGAACATGAAGCTCATTTTGTATTCCACCCTTTCATTCTGCTCTCTAAACAGCCAACAACACATGTTTCTTTGCCAAGTGCCTGTACGTGTGTAAGACAGAGTACGCAGTGTGTGGAGGACCAGACGTGCTGGAGGGGTCCCTGTCGGCGTACCTGCCCAGCCTCAGCATCGCGCCCCGCATCTCCATCCCCAACCCCTGGACGCGCTCCTACACCTTCAGCGGGCGAGAAGAGTAAGAGCCAGTACAAGTTTTTGTCAACAGCTTTCAAATCAAAACTGCTCCACCTGTTAAAAATCTGCTCAAAGATTGTTGGTCAACCCTGTCAGAGACGTTATGACTCAGCCTAACAACCTAGTGAGGCTGTCCAACAACATCATCTGGGTCCCAAACCATGTTCTGAACAGCGAATATGAACTGCTATCATCTGATCAGAGATACAGGGTCCCACGATTCAATAAAGTCAGACTGAAGCATCCTTTGTGCTCCAGTCAATCCTCACAGTCAATACAGAGCTGATCCCAGATCAAATGCACGCTAAAGGCTCTTTGAGCATGTTTTCTCTCAGTGATTGTGGTGTTATGTTAAATGTTTGTTTTTCATGTATTGTGTCTTGATATTTGTCTGTTGATGTTACACATGGAGCTGCTGTGATGCAAGTCAAATGTCAGACTTGATCTGACCATTAAAGGTCCCATGTCATGCTTTTCCGGTTATTACCCGTCCCCTTGTGAGTTATGAAGGTTTTTATGCATGTAAACGGTCTGCAGAGTCAAAACCCTCAAAGTACACCCTGAAGCGAGTAAAACTCTAACACAGAAAATACCTCTCCTCGTTGGAGATACGTTAATTTCCATTGATTCTTCCGGGTACCGCATGATGTCATGCGTTACCCGGAACCAAATGGACCAATCCGTGGAGCCGTTAAGTTACGTCCGCGGAGCCGTTACGTTAAGCCCCCGCTGATTGGTCCAAATTGACCAATCCACGGACTTCCTCACACACACACTCAGTGCAGGCAGCTCTGCTGATCTCTCCTCCCTGGCTGCAGGCTGATAACAGACAGTTGGGATTGCGGAAATTCTCTCTGCAGACCCATTCTCACAGCGTTTATCAACCTTTTTCTTACTCAATATCAAGCCACACTTATTGTTTTTACTTCGGCTGTGACTTTGTGTGTGCTCAGGGTGAGTTTGGCTGTGTTTTGCTGTCGCTAAACAAGGAAACCACAATCCACGGAGCTCAGCGTGATTCACAACATCCCGACCAATCAGAGCACACTGTGCTCACAGGGAGGGTGGGGGCTGGAGCTATTGGAGCTACAATGAGCCGTTAAAGGCAGAGAGTGAAATTCAGTGAATACACGTAGTTTACAGAGATGCTGTATGAGAGACCAAAGTGATTTTGGAAAA